TTTGCTTCAACATTCACTCTTTGTAGAGGCATCACCACCTCCGTAGGTGTATATATATATATATATATATATATATATATTTGTTGTTCTTCTTTCTCCGTCTGCATGTGCATGTCTGGATGCACTGAATGGGTTTCATTCCCTCACGCGTCTGTTGCCCCACGCGCCCCCGATAGAACACTAAAAACAAAACACCAAACAAATAAACTCGGAAAGCGCAACCCATGGGCAACACACACGGAGAAAAATCAAAGAGAAGACACCTCGGATAAATCCTCTTACAGAAACACGTACAAAAGCAAAACCGGAATACAGGTGCTAACAGATACCAACGTATGTAGAAAACAAAGGTATATGACGATCAAGAGATATATAGATATATATATATATATGTATATATGTATATACGGATGATTTCATTGATGGGAAGGCCACGAAAAGAAAAGAAAAATGAAGTCTGACCCGTGACTATGAAGGACCAGAATGAGCGAATCAACAATAGATTGAATCAAGGCCGCCCCTTCTCCACTGCAGCTCCCGCACACATTTCTCTCCAATGCTCGCAGGAGTGACGGGAGGCTGCGTGAAGATGGTTGCAACAGTAATGGTGGTGGTGGTGGTTGTGGTGACGGTTACGCCTTTTAAGTTCCTGGAGGTAGGCGGGGCGGAATAGAGCTGGGAGAAGAAGAAAAAGAACCAAACAAAAACAAAACAAAACAAAACAAAGAAAAAAAAAGGTGAATGGGTTAGTGAAGTTTGGGTGCGTGTGGCGTCACTTTAGGGGGGGGGGAGAAATGGCGCGAAAGAACAAAGAAAAAAGTAACGCAAGAGTAAAACAGCGAAAGTAATGAATCGACCAACAAAAATAAACCAAACAAACAAAAAAGACCTCAAGAAGGAGAACAGTGCGGGGCGCGAAGACGGCTCTGGGGGCTGGTGGTGCAAAGTGTGGGACGGAGAGCCGAGAGAGTTGGGAAACAGAACAAGAGTGGCATGCACTCGCATGCTCCCCACATTTCTTCTTCTTCTTCTTCCTGCTGCTGCTGCTCCTCCTCCTCTTTCGCCGTCTTTCCAGCAGGAGGAGACGCTGCAGCAGCAGCAGCAAGAATGATTCTGCATCCACTCGTTCCTTTACATTTGTAACCACAAGACTGATCCATGTGACCCACACATCCATAACTCAAACCCCCTCCGCCGTCACTCCAGTAATGCCTGTAGCCGTTCCTGCTGTGAGAGTCTTTCCGCGAGAAGGGGGGCGGGCGGGCACCCGCCGCCGCCGCCGCCGCCGTCAATACATATAAATACCGAGCACCATGGGGAGAGCGCATAGTAACAGGGGGAACAATTAATAACAGCGCTCGCAGTCGTCGTGGCCCCACACACGCATCCAGAGAAGTGTGCGGAACAGTAAAGAAGGGTGTGTGTGTGTGTCCTCCGCCCGGGCGCGAAGCCAAAGAACACACACCCCACACACCAAGAAACAAAACAAAAAAGCCGAAAAAAGAGAAACAAAACAAAACAACACGCAAATCAGCGCTGAAAGAAAAAAAAAAA